TCGGAAGGAGAGCTATGGGAGCCTTGGGACTGAGTGGAATGAGTGTTGCTGAGGGTCMATGCTGTGTCTACTGTGGAAGATGAGGCCCCAGTGGAAGCTGGGGGGTCTGTTTCTGCATTTGCTGGAGGCATCGATTCATCCGGAGGTGGTGATGCATCGGGGGGCATCGATTCATCCCCATCCGGGGACATCGATGCATCCGAGAGCATCGATTCATCCCCATCCGGGAACATAGATCCGGCCGTAGTTGGAGACTCTTATTCTTCCCCTGAATAACAGGAGAGAGACTGATCCAGATGAGCCTGGAGGAGGGATGTGTTATGGGGCAGTGTCGGTGTTGTCGTGTCGTGGGTATTTTTATTTTCTTTTTCTTCTTGATTATTGGTGGTTACTGAATATAAATGAGAGGGAGTGGAGGGAGATGCAATGGTGAGAGATGTAGGTTGCCGGGTTCTAGAAAGCCTCTTCTGGAGCCTGGCAGCAACTGTCTGAAGGACAGTGGTGGGGGTCGGGGTCTTCTTCGGAATCGTATTCCGATTCCGAGGGATCACTTCCTCTAAAGCAGAGATCTTGGAGTTTGGAGGAGGCGTCGTGGCCTTTAGAAGGCTGAGGGAAGAGCAGTCAAGGTCCTTTGGTGGAGGAGGGTCCTTACTGGTTGGATCCGGAGGGTCTGGAGGGTCCTTGTTACCCTTTGGGTTGGGCCCGGTCATGGTCGRTTGTTCCTGATAGTTCGAAGGTGCGAATCTGAGTGGTGTTGTGTAGGATGTAGTACTAATTTTAGGTATAATTTTCAATAGAGAATCGTATCGTCGTACGAAGATGAAAAACTGCGTTTGAAAAAATTCGATTTGAAAATTATATGTAGCCGCTGTTTCAGCACTGATTTTAGGTCCATCATACCATTCACATAAGTCTTTCCAGGCTAGATGTCCATCGTTTGTTGTTTCATGCTTCAATACAAGGTGGTATGCTGTGCCATCATCAGTAGCATTTGCAAGGATTGAGTATACTATCTGTTTTCGGGAGGCGTCTCTTATTTCATCATCAGTTCCTTCTCCCAATAACACGCTTTTGAACCCTCCTGAATAAAATGCTGCTCTGGTTGCTGTCTTCCATTTTCTCCAATGTAAATAGTCACCAGAAAAGTTTTTAACTTCTGGAGACTTCATTTTTAGTTTTTCTTCCGATGACAATTCACTCCGTTCCATGACCTTCTCACACTTCAATATCCTTTCTTTTAATTCTTTCATCTCCAAGTTGTCCATTGTTGTCTTTTCTTTATTTCTGTCCGGGCTGATATATGGTACCAAAGTATGTTCCGGTACTTGATTATGGACTGTTACAATGCTCGGTGTCTTAGTCGATGTTTTTGAGGATATGTTTATATGTTCCGGTGGGAGTGTGTGCTATGTTTCTTTTCCATCGTCCTTGCATCGGGTAATGATGTTAGATTTTGTTGTGTATTCCTCCTCTATGGTATCTTTTATCACGTGAATTATCATATCAAATAATTTATTCAGTGCTACTCCAAGTATTACTAAAATAAACATTATTCCTGCCAAAGTGAGGTAATGGCTTAGTTCGAATTTGGAGAATAATTCGATGAAGTGACTGAATACAATGGTTGGTATCATGATTGTTAATTCAGTTTAGTAAGGCTGCGACTGTTAATCAAAAACTTAACAGTTTGGTTTAGTTTGTTCTGTTTTATTATTGTGTAGATCTAGATTGTGAGCATTAGAAACTATCTTTCCGGAAATAATTGATTTACACTGTAATGCATGTAAAACCAATTTCCTTAGTTTCCGGATTGCAATGTAATCAGATCTTTGACACCGGCTTCTTCATTTGAGTCTTGATTACATTGTTCCATGTGGATTCATTGGTTAAACAAGTGACACGGTTCAACCCTGGTTCAACCGTATGCTAAACATATGAATCCCTTATCATTCATTGGGCTATATAAATAGCTGATAGATATTAAGCTGCACGCGTGCGTGTTAAGAACACGTATCATTCATATATTTCGCTTGTACGTATGTTTCCCTTGTGTATGTACATATGTTCCGTATTTTGCGTTCTTAGATCTACCTGCCTAATGGCCTTGTAGACAAGACCCTCAGATGGTATCATTTACTATTAGGACATTGTGGTAGCACTCAACTCTATGAAACTATCAGTGCTAGATTTTATGCCCCACAACTCAGCCTAAGATGCAAACAATACCAGTGTCCGGATGAGTGCCATAGATTCAAGCAGCAGGGACAGGGACATGGCTTATTACCAGCTCATGAGGCTCAGCTTGTCCCGTGGAATGAAGTATGTGTGGATCTGATTGGCCCTTGGAAAGTCCTTCTCCCTGATGAAACAGAATTAGTGATCAATGCCCTCACTTGCATTGATCCAGTCACTAACCTATTAGAGATCATCAGAATCAACAACAAGTCAAGTGAGCACGTGGCAGAGCAGTTTTCAAACTGTTGGTTGTCAAGATACCCACGCCCCAACAGGTGTGTCCATGACAATGGCTCAGAATTCATCGGAACTCCTTTCAAACAGTTACTGAATCAGTATGGAATTAAGAGTGTCCAGACTACTGTGAAAAATCCACAGGCAAATGCAGTCTGCGAACGAGTGCACCAGACTATTGCCAATGTTCTAAGAGCTAATCTTCACTCAACATCACTTGAGGAAGCTGAATTTGATGAAGATCAGATTATCAACAATGCTCTTGCCGCGGCAATGCATGCTACCAGGTGTGCAGTGAATGCCGCTGTAAAGACATCACCAGGAGCCTTAGTTTTCAACAGAGATATGGTAATGGATATCCCACTCATTGCAGATTTGAATCTTATCAGAGATAAAAGACAACACCAGATTGACGAGAACCTTAGGAGAGAAAATGCTAGGAGAATACCCTTCAAATATCAGGTCGGGCAACAAGAAGCTTACATGAGACACTATGAACCAGACAAGCTGTCCCAAAGACTACATGGTCCTTATCCCATTGTGGAGATCAACACCAACGGAACTGTGGTGTTGCAAAGAAGTGACAACGTGGGTGAGACTGTCAACATTAGGAAGCTTGTTCCTCACAAAGAAACTAATGCAAATGCCACTCCTGAAGAACCAGCTGCAGAGGAAGAACCCGCTGTTGAAAACATTGAAGATATGATTGCTACGGTTTAGTGCTGAGTAATATTGCAGTATATTGGAGCAATATCACTGTCCGGGACTATTGGAATTATATGTACGTACTAAGAAGGAAGCATACGTACATACGATGCTCCCTCGGAATGGAAGGACCTATCCCTCAGTTGGGGATTGTGAGAGGTCTAAGATACTATTTGAGAATACCTCACGAAGAATAACCCCTGGTCGCACTTCCACTAACACTCCTCGGAGGGAAGTGCCGCCCCTCGGAGCAGCTGGGAGCATTCTTTCTAACGAAAGCTGTGGTTCTGGCCATATAGTGCCTCTTCTAGTTCACGAGGTTAAAAATAATATTAAGATTTTTTTTTTTAGAGAGATGTCACGAGTCCAGAATAGAGAACCTCCATGTAGATTTCCCACCAGGTCTACGTGAGGTTCTAATCGGAACTTCGGAATTATCGTGAACGCGCTTGGGTATTCTACGAATAATTCTAATCTTATAATTCAATTTTCTTACACACTTAAAACACCTACTAACAGTACACGTAATCTCGTGCACCTCCTCGAAAGCTATGGTTCTGGCCATATAGTGCCTCTTCAAGTCCAAGTCCCCAAAGGATCAGCGGCGCATCACCAGGGGTCAGTCAGCGGGAGCCTGGCTGACCGCCACACCCCATATCCTAAACGGGACTGTCCTGACTGCTGAAGAATTTCGGGACAATCTCAGACTACGATTTGGCCTCACCCCCAAGCACCTGCCGGCGAGGTGCGATGGCTGTAGTGCTGAATTTACTGTGGAACATGCCATGACCTGCCCCAAGGGCGGATTCATTGTGCAAAGACACAATGATATCGCAGGGGCATGGCACCAACTGTGTGCGGAGGCCTGGACACCGAGCTGTGTAACTGATGAACCAAGAATACCCAACTATCAGCCCACAACTCCAAAGAAGCAGAGCCAACGCAATACAAAACCCCCCGAGCAAGACCTTAGAGGAGATCTTTCAGTGTACAACTTCTGGAAGCGAGGCACCGCCGCAGTGTTTGATGTTCGAATTGCAGATACTGATGCAGAGTCCTATGAAAAGACAGCCCCTTGGCTGGTGCTCAAGCAGCTTGAAAGAAAGAAGAAGAAAAAGTACTTGGATCGGTGCCATGCAGCACATCGCCACTTCACCCCCCTGGTCTACTCCATTGATGGCATGGAGGGCAAAGAGGCAATTGCAGCACGCAAGCAGCTGGCCGCCAAACTTGCTGCCAAGTGGGAGAGGCAGTACTCTCTGATATGCAGCCTTGTTAAATCAAGAATTGGCTTTGCTTTAGCAAGAGCAGCAAGCAGGTGCCTGAGGGGCACTCGCGACGCCAGATTGAAATTCAATCAGCCCTTGGATTGGATCTCTTACTCTGGTGTGCGAGTGTATGCTTACTAATCCAGTTGGATTTCATCTTGTCTAGTTTTTTTCATCAGTGTTTTCAGTGGGGTTTCCCACTGAATAACACKGCTCGGAAAAGCATCGAAAACAGAGCTCGGAAATGTCGGATCAAGCTCCGACGGCGAAGATTAGCCCGATTTCACACTTTCGTGAAATTAACACGCGTTTTCATTGTGATCTCGCACCGTGTTATTTCAGGTTTTTCCTCGTACCGTACGTATGATATGATCAATCGTGTGATCGTATGCTTAGTATTTCGACCTTTTTCAGGTTTTTCCCCGTACCGTACGTATGATCAATCGTGTGATCGTATGATGTGAACTTTTAGCTCGTAGAACAACACTTCGGTGTGACGTAATACATAGTAGATCGAGCTATAGTGCCTCTTCTAGCTCACGAGGTTAAATATAATATTAAGATTTTTTTTTTAGATGATAGCTTTATGATACGGAAATTGGTAAAAATCGAGTTTGCATGCATTACAGTGTAAATCCTTGAAAAACAACTGAATCGAGCCGAGCGCATCCAGGTACTTCATGTTTGCTGGTATGTTTCTTTCGGGGCCAAGCTCCTACGGAACCTCGACCATTTCGATCCTCCCCGTCTTCGGATCCGTGGAAGAGGCAAGAGTGGCCACACTCAATAGGCGGGCAGCCTCCCTGGCGTCGGCCCCCGAGATGAGGGGCGCATGTCTCATCCTGGCCAAGGCCTCGCTGGTGCGAATGAGAGACTCGAGCTGACGGGGCGTCGCCGCCAGGGTTCCGTTGTTTCCGGTTCCGATCTTTCGAAGCTTCAGATAGCGCTCAAGGAGCTCTTCCTCCGCGGCGTCGCCCAGGCGCGGGTGGACGGTGGCCCGTGCGTAATCGATGTAGTCCCTCAACAGGGCGGTGTCCAAGGGGGGCTCACCAGCGGTGGGGGTCTCCTGGTAGAGGCCGACCAAGTGCCTCGCGAGCCTGCGGTCCGCGTCGGGGGATGCATTGTCGAGGACCAGGTAGACGAGATCAAACCGGCTGAGGAGGGTAGGGGACAGGCGGAGATTTTCCACCACACTCCTGCGGGGGTTATATCGCGACTCCGAGGGGTTCGCCGAGGCCAGGATCGAGGCCCGGGCGCGCAGGCTAGATACTATCCCGGCCTTCGCAACCGAGACGGTTTGTTGCTCCATGGCCTCGTGCAGGACCGACCGCGTCGCATCCGACATCTTATCGAACTCGTCGATGCAGCAGATTCCCTTGTCAGAGAGGACCAGTGCCCCGGCCTCTAGAACGGGATCGCGGGTCTCAGGGTCGCGTACCACCGAGGCCGTGAGTCCGACCGCGGAGCTGCCCTTTCCCGAGGTGTATATGCCGCGGGGGGTGAGCTTGTGGACGTAGGCAAGGAGCTGTGACTTGGAGGTCCCGGGATCACCGCAGAGAAGCACGTTGATATCTCCGCGCTTACGGGGCCTGGTGTCGTCATGGTCGTGGTTCTCGCCGTCGTTCACCCGCCGCACCTGAGTTCCGCCGAACAGCATGCACAGTACGCCCTTCTTAACGTCGTCTAGGCCCCAGATGGAGGGCGCTAGAGATCGGGTGAGGATGTCGTAGATGTCAGGCCTCCTGGAGAGGGCTACAAGTTCCTCCTTCCGCTCCGATGTAAGAAGCTTGCACCTTCCAGAAGCGGTGCCCACCCTCCGTGGTAGTGGTTGTCTTCGTTGGGGGTCTTGTATTTTCAGTTCTCGTCGCTGTGATTGCAGTCGCGGTGGCTCCGACGAATCCCCCGCCATCCCTGTGATCCTTCGAAAGTGCAGGACATCAAGATAGGTTTTGTAGACAGACCTGACCCGGGTGGCCCTCGGGTTGACCCGCACCGACTGGGCACGGAGGATCCCCGTCGCCTCGATCCGGTCTCCCGGAACGGCAGCGTCGACCAGGTCGTCGAAGCAATAGACCGCTAAAGAGGCCGGGGTCCGGCCAGCCGGCACCGCTTCGGGCGTCTCTTGCAAGCGAACCAGCTGCTTGTTGGCAAAGGAGCAGCGGTTGTGCTCTAGCCGGTGTGAGTCCCTCGTTCCGCAAGAGGGGCACACCGCGGGCTCGGAGATCCTCCCCCGGTCGACCGCTACGTTGTGAGCGTGCCCACAGACGCAGCAGGAAAAGTGGGCAATCCGGAGGTCCGGGACAACCGGGCTGCAGCGCACAACCATGCCCTGGATTGCGACAAGGGTGTCGACTGTGATGGGATCGAGGCACCGGAGGCCCTGGACCTCCCTAAGGTTAAAGGGCCGGATCTGGACGACGGGGGGTTCGTGTGGGAGGTGTGATTCGTGTTGCTCTTGGTGGCCCGCCCTGAGTTCCTCCATCTCGCGCCTCACAACGAGGTCCAAGAGCGGGACGATTTCGGAGGGGTAGTGGAGTAGCTGGTGATAGAGCTTCTGGCAGGCCGCGTCGAAAAAGCACAGGTGCATCACGTCTACGTCGAGGCTGGCCGGACCGGTCCGTTGAACCATGGATTCCAGCTCGGAGCTGTAGACCGGGGGTGGAAGCGAAGAGTTGTCATCGATTTCGTTGTCGCTGTCGTCATGGCCGCGCAGACCGCGAAAACCCCGTAGGAATCCCCGAAAGGCCTGGGCGGCCTCAGCGACGTCTATGTCGGTCCCCCGCGGCGTGGCAAAACCATCTTGGGCGTCTAGAAAGTCACCTTCGTGGTTTTCGTCATTAATATCGTTTTCTGTCTCTTCGTTTACGTCGGCGTCACCGTCACTCATGACCCCTCCGAATCGCGGCCGCCGGCTCCCCTGGAAAACTGATCCTCCACCGACTTCCAGAGGCCTGGAGGGAGTAGGAGGGGCAAGGGGCGATAGAGCGGAACCTTCGTCCGTCGGCGTGGTTGGGATACCGTCTTCGGTGCCTCGTTCGTCGACGTCCATCTGGGCCGCGGCGAGGGTGGTAGCGTTGTGTGCTTTGCTACGCGTTGTGAAAGGAAGCGAAGAGAGAGTTTACAGTGGCTCGGAAGACCCCGCTAGGCTTCGGCTTCCCGGAGTTTCCGTCGAAGCGGACGGTCCGGGAGCTGGCCTTTTTTTTAGGAAGATGGCTTTAAAACGACTCTCGGGCTATGTGCGGTGTCTGGATTGGGGGGAAGGCTACAGCTCGAACCTCGAAACGAAAGGGAGGGAACGGAAGTCCTACTCCGACCTCTCGTCTGGTTGGGGTTTGGATTCGGTTCCGTTGCTGATGATTTACTACTACGTGACTTTTCTTCTTACTAATACAAGCTGGTTTGTACCGTACTTCAATTTTTGGAATTTGCTCTTGTGCCCGAATAAAACCGACGTGTCTGCAGTCCTGCCCGAACCTTCCGTTCGAACCAATCAGCGACTACTTTGCTTTTGCTTACTATGTATTTACGTCACACACGAAGTGTTCTACTACGAGCTACAAAGCTTTGCTATTCTGCTTGTGAAGCTAGGCGTTCCGTCTTAAAAGCGGATTCCTTGAGGGTTTTTGCTCCTAACTGTACCCTTTCGTTGGACCGTAGCAAGCTTCGCAGAAAGCTCCCGGGTCTGGGAGCGAGTCGAACGGACAAAGGGTCGGACAAACCTACCAGGTTTTGGTGGAGTCGAACGCAAGTCGAACGGACAAGGCGCAAAAATACCAGGTTTGGGTTGTTTTGACAAAGCGACGCAAATAACTACCAGGTCTGACGAACAAACGAATCCGAACAAGGCTGACGAACAACAAATGCGCAACGTTCCCAGGTCAGACAAACGGACAAAGGAACGCACAAAACTACCAAGGTTTAAGAACAACGAACAAACAAACACGCCACGTTCCCTGGTCTGACGAACGGTCAAAGGAACGCACAAAGCTACCAGGTCTGACGGACGGACAAAGCAACGCTTATAACTACCAAGGTTCACGAACAACGAACAAACAACGCACAAAGCTACCAAGGTTCACGAACAACGAACAAACAACAACGACGAACAAGCAACGCACAAAGCTACCAAGGTTCACGAACAACGAACAAAGAAACACACAACGTTCCCAGGTCTGACGAAAGGACAAAGCAGAACAAATGAACGCACAATATTCCCAAGTCTTAGGAGCAACACAACGTTACCAGTTCTTAAGAACGACGTGACGCGGAAAGCTACCGGGTCTGGGGTTCGAATCCAACGGACAAAGCGGCGCACCAAGCTACCGGGTCTGGGTTCGAATCCAACGGACAACGAAGGAATACCCGGGTCTGGGTTCGAATCCAACCGACAATGAACAATGAATGAAGCGATGCAAAAAGCTATCGTGTCTGGGGTTTGAATCCAACGGCAAGGCGCAAAGCTATCGGGTTTGGGGTTCAAATCGAACGGAAGCGACTCAAAGCTACCAGGTCTGGAACTTTGGGGTGATACGAACCGAAACCTGAGAGCTACCTATGCGAGCTCCTGCACTGGACCGGCAATGAGACAGCAGGGGGCAGCTCCTGTTGCCTTCGTCAACGTTGTCTTTCTTTTGGTTCTTTTCGTATTTCCACTGTATTTTCTACGTTATTCGAACTACGATCAAATTTCGCTCGCGCGTGGGTATTCCCTCTCAGTCACCTTTTCATCACTACGGTACTTGAAATGATTTTTTTGGTTCTCCTCCAGATGAGGTCTTCTTCTGTCCATTACTGTAGTGGAGTGATTTCCGTCCTCATCGCAGTTCTTGTTCCCCCAGACGGGCAAAGACCAAAACACCGTAAAAGGCAAGACTATTGATTACTCGTACCGGCACCTTACCATATTAACATACAGTAATGCGCGACGATATTTTTTAATCCCTCTGTTCTGTTCTTTGTGGAAAGAGTCTTCTCTTGCTGGAAGTGTCATAGCAGCCACTGAACCTATCCGTTCATAAGTACTCGAAGAATACGGTACGAGCAAGGGAGGAGCTTACACGCCTTTTACACACCACCCGTGGCGAGAATCACCATCTCACCATGCCGCTGCCGAAACGATGGAACAAATCGAAGCCCCCCCCGGCTGGCTTCGAGGCGATCGAAGCCACCCTCGAGGCGATCGAGCACGAGCTCCGTGACAGGATCAAGGAGACGAACGAGCGCAAGCGCAACTGAGTCGATGTGGCCGGTGCATCAGATCGGATGGCAGAAATCCCGCTACGTCTACGACATGTTCTACACCTACAAGCGCATCTCCCGTCCCGTCTACGAATACTGCCTCCGTCAGAAACTCGTCGACGCGGCACTAATAGCCAAGTGGAAAAAGCCGTGCTACGAGCGCCTCTGCAGCACCTACGTGATCAACCCGACCAACTAAAAGTTTGGGACCACCAGCATCTGCCGCGTCCCTATGAAGGACCGCAGTCCCGAGCAGAGGACCGCCACGGATCCCACCACGGGGTGCCTGGGGTGCGCCTCGGGCCCAGGCGCGGGCCCGCGGAACATTTTTGGCAACAAGTACGGCCAGTACCTGGCGACAGTCCAGGTCGCCAGAGAGGCGCGGATTGCGGGGGCAAAGGAGCAGCGAAAAAAGGAGGAAGAGGAACGGACAGGGAACGATGAGACCGACAACGATTCGGACACCGATTCCGGCGGCGACGACGGCGTCTGGGCGGGTTCCGGGAGGGTTGGGACGAAAGCGACAGCGAAACAGAGGAACCGACTATTCCTCCTTCTACCAAGAGAGCCAGGTCACGAGCCAGCTGGTTGCGTTCAAAGATCACGAGTCCGTGCAACATATTCTTGCTGATGGTCATCGTCTGGGCTCGGTATTCATTTCCAAGTGGAACTTATATAACATTTTTCTTTATTCAACGCATGGATGCGCATTGCTAAAAAAAGTTTACCAAATTACACTGCGAAAAGAGTACGAACAATGTTGAGATCAAATCTCTACGTCCGTGGCAACGAGCGCCATGTATTCCTCGTCGTAGGTGTCGTCGCCCTCTTTCTGGATCATGCCGAAGGCAACGTTTCTCAGCGCGCGGCAGAGGTCCGATGGGTATTCTTCTTCGTAAAATTCCTCGGCGGCCTCCATGAGACTGTAGTCGAAGCACGCGTGCACGGGCGACGGAAAGTAGACAATCTTGTCGTTGGTGGCATCGTAGAATTTCTTGAGATGGCATATCTTCAGGGCGGCCTTGAGCAGGCACTCGGCAGAATCGTCGTCAAAGGGTTTTTCCGGCCTCAGTTCGTACTTGTTGGAATCCCCGATCAGTTGTTTAACCGTGTCTTTGATCATTTTTTCCCTCAGCTCCAATTCGGAAGGACCAGGTTCCTGTACTTGCTTCGAAGATTCGGTAGTTGATTCTTCTTCCTCCGAAACAACAGCTTCCCTCTCGTCACCTCCCGACTGCTCCGATTCCTCCTCTTGCTTGGCAGACGATTCGATGGTCGGTTCTTCCTCCTTCTCCGCTGCGAGGGCTTCTCCTTCGCCCGGTACAACAGTCGTGGGCTCGTCTCCATCTTTGGATTCAACTTCTGTTTCGGTACCGTCGGTAGCGCTGGGCAAAGCCGTGTCGGCGGCCTCTGTGGCTGCGTTTTCCGAATCCAACGCATGTTCCCTGGCTTCTAAATCGTTGACTTTTTGCCCAAGACACTCCGTCATGATTTGGTGTTCGTGATGTTTATCTTCGAGCGATCGAGAGTTGACTTCCAGCTTCGCCTCTCTCTTCTCGACTTGTTCCGTTCGTTCGGCTAGGCTTTACTTTGCTTCCTTGTGCGCCGCGTATACTTTGAGAAAGACGCTTTTTCCTTCGAGCAACTCTTCCAACCGCGACGAGAATCCTTCCTTGATTTTTTTTGTGCTCGGCACGCTTCTTTTCTAGTTTTTCTTCTTGCCTGTGGATATCTTCGATCCTGATTGCGAGGCTCTATTGTGCTACATTGTGCCTGGCATGGGCTTCCTGCAGCAGTTTCTTCTGTTGCTGCTCAGGGCGTGCGATTCGCCCCACGACCCGAAGCTGTTCCCCTCGTTTGTCGACTTCTTCGAGTCAAGTCGAGAGGGCCTCCTCCGTTCTTTTTGGACGCGTGACTCGGTTTCCTGTTTTTCCTCCCGTTGCCGGTCTTAACCATGCATGCACCAGATTTTCACCCTTGCCTGCTTGAAAGCATGATTGATGTTGAGGGCACAAAATCACTTTTTTTCAATTTCTTGTGCAACCTACCGTACTAAAAGTAACACCCCGTCCTCTGATTTTGGTGGCACGTGCTGTCCCTATCTAAAAGAAAATTCGAGGTGCGCTGCCACCAACTCCTCGGCAATTGAAACTGCTGAATTTTGCTGTAGGAAAGGCTCCTTTTCCGGGGGCCCAAAGTGGTACTAAAAGTAACACCCCGTCCTCTGATTTTGGTGGCACATGCTGTCCCTATCTAAAAGAAAATTCGAGGCGTGTATGCCCTGAGGATTTTCTTTTAGATAGGGACACCACGTGCCACCAAAACCGACTCCGAGGCAAGTGAGAGCTGCTGAATTTTGCTTTAGGAAGGGTCCTTTTCCTCGGCCGGCCTCTCACTTGCCGAGGAGGAGGACAAGAGGAGAGGGGTGTTAGTTGTGTAATCCAATGCTTGCAAGGTTGAGCAGTGGAGGAGACCCTTGCCAGCGATCGGCGTTGCTGTTTCGTTGCTGCTTTTCCTGGGGGACAACAAAAAACCTGCATTCCTACGTGATTTACTTAGGCCTGGTATAAGATGGTACCAAAGTACTTTTTTGTGGTACCGGAGTACCACTTTTCGCGCATGCGGGTGTATCACTCTAACTAGTACTCGTAGTTGGTCGCTAATTGCTAATAGTGGGACATAGCTAGTCCCTCCAGTAGTTAGCTGTATGTGACTGCTTAGTAACGACCAATTCCATTCACAACTTGCGGGATTCCATTACCACGTTCTACTGGTGTACGTTGATTTTGTACTACATACTACGCACTCGTTGTTTTCACTCACTCACTCAGTCACTAATCTAATCATAGTTTAGAAAAAGCAACGATTCGATCCTGCAACGGATACGTACGTACTGTATTAAAAAGATACGTACGATACGAAGCTTCGAAGAAAGGAATGAGGGAACATACCATTCCTACTTACCTATCATATGTAGAAATCACGTGTGCAATAAGCAGTTAGTGTAGTGTTGATATAACAGGTGAATACACTGTAATATACACTAGGAACTTAGCTAAGATAAAATGTAAAAATCACGTGTGCAATAAGCAGTTAGTGTAGTGTTGATATAACAGGTGAATACACTGTAATATACACTAGAGACTTAGCTAAGATAGAGATCATCATGGTAGGAGGGCATGATAGGGTGTTTTAGATGTTAAAGAAAAGAAGAAGTGACCAAACAGCTGGTTTGCTGTTTGCTGTAATTTCGATGCTTATAGCGATTCGGCGATCAATCGTACGATTCATTCGTATCGTACGATTCAATCCAAAGATACGATTCAACCTTAGTCTAACCTTAACCCTAATCGTTGTATCGTATGAAGGTACGATTCGATCCTGGGATACGGTTTAACTCTAACCTTAATCTTAATACTCGTACGATTCATTCATTCGTATCATACGAGAGTGATTCAACTCAATCCACGAGTGATTTTCACAGTCCCCGTAAGATCTATTCAGTTTAGTCAAATGAAATAAGATCAAACGAATCGAACTTACAAAATCAGTCAAGTGAGTCACATGTAGGTCAATCTTTTGAGGTTTGCACACGAGATTACGTGTACTCTCTTAGTAGGTGTTGAGTGTGTATGAAAATTGAATTATAAGATTAAGATTATCGAGCGCGTTCACGAGAATTCTGAAGTTCTGATTGGAACCCTATGTAGACCTKGTAGGAAATCTACATGAAGGTTCTTCCATTCCGGACTCGTGACGTCTATGTTCTTCGTAAGATATTCTAACTCCTAATATCTTGGACCTCTTATGATCCTCGGACCTCTTACGAAKGATCCTATGATACGTACATAGGAAKCGTACCTTACGATAGGTACGTAGGAATGGTATGATCCTTCATTCCTTTCTTTGGAGCTTCGTATCGTAACGATTCATCGGTACGTACGTATCCATTGCATTGTCCCACGTAGTGATATTGATATATTGAAATATCACTCATTACTAAACTGTAGCAATCATATCTTCGATGTTTTCAACAGGAGGCTCTTCCACTGCAGCTGGTTCTTCAGGAGTGGCATTTGCATTGGTCGTAGTTCCCTTGTAAGGAACAAGTTTTCTGATGTTGACAGTCTCACAGACATTGTCACTCCTTTGCAGCACCACAGTTCCGTTGGTGTTGATCTCCACAACGGGGTAAGGACCATGCAATCTTTGGGACAGTTTATCTGGTTCATAGTGTTTCATGTAGGCCTGTTGCCCGACCTGATACTTGAAGGGTATCCTTCGAGCATTTTCTCTCCTGAGGTTCTCATCTATCTGGTGTTGTCGTTTGTCTCTGATAAGATTCAAATCAGCAATGAGGGGGATATCCATCACCATATCTCTATTGAATACCAAAGCTCCTGGTGATGTCTTCACAGCAGCATTCACAGCGCACCTGGTAGCATGCATTGCAGATGCAAGAGCATTGTCAATCAGTTGATCTTCATCAGATTCAGCTTCTTCMAGTGATGTTGAATGAAGATTAGCTCTTAGAACATTGGCAATGGTCTGGTGCACTCGTTCGCAAACTGCATTTGCCTGTGGATTTTTGACTGTAGTTTGGACACTCTTGATTCCATACTGATTCAGTAATTGTTTGAACTCGGTTCCAATGAATTCTTTGCCATTGTCATGAACACATCTATTGGGCCGTGGGTATCGTGATAACCAGCAGTTGG